TTTTTTCTCCGCTTCTCTCTCTGCGTCCACTAAAACCCATTGCCCTGTTTTTACTTTCCCCCGTCGTACAAAAAGTGAGTTTCTTTTTTTTTTACACCGTGTCAACTTAAATGCAAAAGTAGGAGTGACTTTTGTGAAAAGTTTTCTTTTAACTTGACCGGCCATGTCGTTGGCTTTACCTTGAAGGACCTTATTGTGCTAAATTGAGCCTTAGGTTTCTCTTCACCTCTTTCTAAAGGGGCTTTGTGCTTAGTTTAGGTTTATGTTATTGTAAGGGGTTATAGTTAGATTTGTGATGTTCTGGGTCTATATGTGAGTGTGAGTGCTTGCTTATCTCATTGCTTTATTTCTTTTTCTTTCCCTTTTGGCTCTTTCATGTAGAGTTTTACTTTGGAAGAAAGTTACATGTAGACGCATTACATTTCTGTGAAAAAAAAAACCCTCTGAAAATTTGTTCAAAAAAGAATTTTTTTTTTTTAGTTCATCTTCACGTGTCTGTTCTTATTTGTATGATCGAGTTTTTTTGTTCTATTACTCAATCATGTTTGTCCTGGTCTGTGAGCTACTGAATCCTTCTCGGATCCACACCGAGTTCTGTTGGCTCTTCCAAGTGCCATTCTGTTTTCTCAGGTATCTCGACTGCTTTGTTTAGAATTTTTGTTTGATTGATCTAGCCTACTCTAATATGACCCTCAGTTCCTGAAGCCATCTATTCTTGAAGCTTGTTAATCCGTCGTTGCTTTCTCTATTTGTTGATCAAGCAATTTGAGCATGGCAACCATTGCATCTACTGGTCATGTTATACACCTAAAGTTCCAACTGCTCATTTCAACAATTAGTATTCAAACTCTAGTTGTTCTCTTTCATAGCATATTGAGTTTGGGGTTGAGTGTGAAAGGCTAATATATATTATCTACAAGATTAATACGCAAGGAGCATATTTTAATGAGAATGGTAGATACAATATCTTATATTTATGGTAAATATGGGTATAGAAATGTGTGATTCATTTTATGAACAATATTTCCTTCTTTTTATGTGTACCGATATTAAGAAGGTGGTTCATTACATATGTTAGTTTCTTTAGTAGTACATAATTTTGTAACTCTATAAATTAGGGTGTTCACATATTCGATAACTCGGTAGCTTCACTGATGTATTCGTTCGTCTTGCGGTACTTCTCTCTCATTAGTTTGGGCCTTTCGTTCAGGCCTTCAGTACAACTCTTTCTCTGTTCGATATCTTTATCTGATCTCTTTCTCTCTCAGATCTCTCTTAGGCCATATTTTCCCTCAAATCTATCTCTCTACTTATCTCAATCTATCTCTCCCTACTTTCTCTCTCTCTCTCGGACTCTTATCTCTTCTCTCTCTACTTATCTATCTCTCACGATCTCTCTCTCTTTTATTTCTTCGGGTGCTTGGACATGGTTGCCCTCTCTCCCTTATCCCTCTCGTCTCTTATCTCTCTAGACTTTTTACTCTCTTTCCATCTTATGTATTGGGTTTTAAGTCTCACTCATATAGAAATCTTGGGTATTAGGTTTTCTTCACAAATATTATAAAACCTCATAAATCTTGGATATTGGGTTTTACTTTCTCTGGCATAAAGATTGTAAAAACTCGGGGCCTTCAAAACGTCAAATATGCTTGACGATATCCTGTCCATCTAGTTTTGTCTCTACCCAACTGAACGACCTTTTATCTTTTTGGAGTTTCTCTTTCACAGAAGGGAGGTGGCCTTTTACTATGTTACTTGTAATCCAATTTGATTCATAATTTGGCTGCTTAGTAGCCAGGCCTTCTTGTATATTATTGAATTAGTACTATGCTGAAGTATAAAGGAAAAATATTTGGCATGGACATATGCATAAAATGGATTTCAAGTCCTTGAAATAATGTATCTTGCAATATATAAACACCAAGATCTGCACTATTTTTGGAGCATTAAATTTTACAATTAGGTGTGTGTGAAAAATGATTTTCATGCCATCATATAGGTTTTCAACACCATAATTACATCTTCTGGCTTGAGTTGGAGGTGCACTTGTAAACCATACCCTTATGAAAATATACCACAATTGGGTTATCATCCAAACATGGGAAAAGGTAAAATGGGGTTACCATTCACTTTTAAACCATACCCTTATGGAAATATACCACAATTGGGTAGTCATCCAAACATGGGAAAAGGTAAAATGGGGTTACTATTCACTTTTAAACCATACCCTTATGGAAATATACCACAATTGGCTAGTCATCCAAACATGGGAAAAGGTAAAATAGGGTTGCCATTTTAAAAGCAAAAGATTATTGGAGGTGCACTTGTAAACCATAAACCCTCATGAAAAAATACCACAATTTGGTAGTCATCCAAACATGGGAAAATGGAAAATACTATTTTAAAACCAAAAGATTATGTGCTTCTGCAGGAGCATATTTCAGATTTACAGCCTTAGCCAAAACCCCTACTTAGAGTCTTTTGAGGAACTCGAATTTTTGGAGATAACCACCTCAAGTAGCCACCAACCAAAAAGATAAGACAAAATTCCGTGTGTTATAGTGTGCTACTCGGTATAAATTTTGGAGGGCTATATTTAAGTGTTTAGGAACTTAAAAGTCAATTACTCTTGTATAAAAGCAGTCATTTGCATGTTTTTAAGTGGATTTCAAATTTTCGGTTGGAGAAAATCCTCCAAGATAGGTATTTTCCCTGGGGATAATATGCACAGTATGATCACGCATGAGCGTACATGTTATGCATTGCTCTCTAAAAAAGTGTGGTTTTTGTAGAGTGGTAGCCACGTTGCGGCTTTGGTCGTGTGGAATACTTTTCCTTAGAATATTGCATACTTAAGATTGTTACCCGCGCCCTTTTGGGAGAAAGTTAAATGTATTCATATTTAAATGCGGCCCCCTTTCATAAAAGTCTATTTTAAGGTGGATTTAGGAGGTGACATAAATTCTAAGGAACTCTAGATGCATTTTGGCTTTAGATCTATGATTTGTCACTAAACATTAGTGATATAAATGGTGAGAACGATAAAAAAATAGAATTTTGGATACTATAATTTGATATTTAAAATATATATTCTTTTGACATATTCGCGATTGTGATGGTCAGATTTGTGAACACAAAACATCCAGAATCCATATCTAAGATAAAGTTTTCAAATGGTGATCCCAAACTCATCCTGATTTTTCTCCCTTTTTGATTTCTCAATCTAGGGACCTTTTAGCGTGTAAGCCAAACGGCCCTTACCCATTTGTCCTTAGATTCCCATATTCAAGCCTTGTGATAAATCATGTTTGGGATTAACTTTATACGCTTAAGGACTCATACAATAATATATCTAAGCATATCTGATGGTCAATATTGTATTTTGTATTTACGTTTTAGTTTTTGTTTTTTTTATAAACGCAAATCACCTAAAATTTGGAGCCTTCTCATGATGGTGCAACTAATAAAAACATAAAAAAAAGAATCATAAAAACTAAATTGATCAAAATTCCCCTCAATCTTTTAGATGTAGTTTAGTCAATTTATTTTTGGTGAATTATTTTTAAAATAATTTTATTAGGTATGTAATTTTCAAGAGTAAACATCTCAAATTTCAAGTAATTTGCATTTGTATAAAAAAATAATAATTCAAAAATTAAAAAACGATTGTGACCACTTGATAAGCTCAAATTCAATCTAAGATGTTGGGCACAAACTATTGCATCAGCCCTCGGGATGACAAATACTTTTTCCTCATGTCTTATGGTATAAAATAATCATGTTATCCACCGATGCATTTCCAACAATGGATGATGGAGATCTAGCATACAAAACACAAGCCCATACTGCGCTCTATCATAAAAAACGGTAGTCTACCCTGTATCTATTATACACAACCAGTGGCATATCAATGTAATATATTCTTTACTTCATTTATCCCCCTAGATCTTTGCTGCATTTAATTAAACATTTCAAATTTTTGCTAATCTTTTCTTGTGCGGGATCAATGAATTTGGGATGTTTTGGGTATTAAATCAGGCAAGAACCAGGAAGGATATGTTGCACAAAATAGTTTCCATGTATGTTTGATGAGCGTACAATGTATATGAGAGGACAAGAATGGTGTATGATAAATACATAGGTTAGATAACTTTTAAGGCTCATGATTGCAAAGGTCGGGGTGATCGATTTGCCGAATTTGAGATTGTAAATCCATCACCAAGATGGATTTTGAACAGTGGAGCATGAATCCATAAAAGCACTAGGTTGGAGAATTGGTGGTTGAGGAGACGGCCGTCTCAACTCAACCTCCACTTTCATCATAACATCATCATCATCAAAGCTTTTTTTCAACTAAGTAGAGTCGGCTACTAAAATTCTTTTCCGACATTATGCTATATGAAGCCCATCTATCAAAAAAACAAAAAAAAAAAAATCCGTAAAAGCACCCTACCGTCACCTAAGCATATCAATTTGATTTACGGGTAGCGTTTTCGCCCGTCCAAACAAAGGCACTTTTTTTTTTGAAATAAAAAAAAGGCACTTAATTTAATGAATCTACCTTTCCAAAATCCATCTTGAACGAGGAATGAGGATCCAAAACTTTATATATCCGTTATATCAATCGTCACCATTACGAATCTAAAAAAAAAAAAAAATTACTTTTCTCATATGATCCATTTAAGTTATTTACATACATAAAATCAATACAATTTATTTAAGCTTCAAATTCATTGAGCGGAAATGGAAATCTACGATGCGTTTTGAACCTTGAAAACCCTTGAAAACCAGGACGGATGCATGAACAGGCAGGTTCACCAAAAACTTTTGGTTGATTAAAACATTCACTATAAAAAAAAAGATAAATAACATGCTTAAAAGCATATAATATGATTTTCTAACGAAAAAAAACTCTTATCAAGAAGCGCAACTTCCACAACAGATAAAATTTATAATTCCACCCAACATACTCTTTTGGTATAATCTCTCGTTTTCCTCAAACCACATGAATAATTTGCACGCAATCCCACTGATTGCGGTATAAGCACATATATATATATAGAGAGAGGTTTTACAGGGAAGGTTATATAAAATTCCAAACGAAGAGAGAGAGGCTTAACAGTATTTGAAATGGCGGTGAGCAAACAGAACATATAAATGCCTGGTGCGCATTCACGTCACCCAATAAACCCGGTTTTCAAGGCCATGTCATTCTCTACTCTCGTTGCTTCCTTTTTCTCGTATACACGACGGATACCCTTTGTTCGGTAGCTCCAGAAGCAGCACTCAGCTTTTTGTGTTCTTTCAAGGTCCTTCAGTTTTCTTCTAACCAGGTGAGAGAAATCTCTCTCTCTCTCTCTCTCTCCTTACTTGAACATCTGCAAATGCGTTCTTCGATTATAGATATAGAGTAGCTTAAAGATTTATGGGCTTCGTCTAATGTATCCTAGGTTTTTCGACTCTTCGGATTCATCTTCAATTTTTTTTACAAGCCAGAGGTTCAGAAATCATCTTTGATTTCAAGTAAGAGAAGTTGAGAATTCATATCTCTTGTATTTGCTGGATAACCGGCCCATATTTGTGTTTTTCGCATTAAAATCCATGAAAAGTGTGCGTTTAGTTGTATCCTCCGTTTCCAAATTATGGTTCTTGTGCATTTTCCTCTTTTTCCGAGTTTGGGGCATGTTTTCTTCTGATCGGAGATGAACACGCCTAATAAATTAATAAATGCAATTGTATTTCTCAAAAGTAAGCTACCATCCTCTCTAAACTTTTAAACTTTAGACTGCAATCTCTGAAATTTGCCCAAGCCTTATTCTACACCTTTAGCTCATTCTACTTTGTTATTTGCTTTTGGTTCTCCCTTTTTGATTCGTTCTGCTTTATCATTGACTAAAACCTTTCAAAGTGATGGGGCACTTGGCCAATTCTGAGAGTTTGAAATGACTTAATACCCTCTTAGAAATATGTGTTGAAATTGGTAAATGAAGATTTGAAAGGACTCAAAGTCTTTTCAAAACCTGCTTAAAGATTGCCAATGCCTTCATGTGTATCGTAATTACAGGAAGATATGTAAACATACATTAGGAGCCCAAAGTACAACATGGAATTGCATCATCAAAGCAACTGAGAGATTCACTTGCACTCATAAGTAACCTTACTAGCTCATATATACAGTAGTTTGGGATTTCTTTAATGCTTGACCACCATGAAAGATGAAGGTGAAGATTAAACATGATGCACTTCCTTTCATTCTGCTAATCGTTCCTTTTGTGTCTTTTTCTTAGTATTGTGGATTTTTGCTTATGTATTTCAAAAATGAGTAATTACGCCATGGCCGGTCATGCTAGTCCAGAGCCCGGATAAAGGACGAGGGTTGTGTTAGGCAGGACAGCCAGCGTAAAACTTTGCCACATCATTTTCATGAATCTTGAATATATGAATGGCGGAGTAGGATTCGTGTAGCCAACCTCGAATAGTTGGGATAAGGTTCGGATGATGATGATTGTAAAATTTGAGTATTTTGAGTTTATGGTGATGGTACCATCAGATTTAGCAGCATGGAATTGAGATTTGGAAATGATATTATTTTTTATTCTCTATGGTTGTTACATCTTATTGTTGGATTCTATAGGCGAATTCTTACGCGGGAACATAAAAACACATACGAAATCAAAAAGGTCTAATAGAGGTTACATACATTTTTCAAATTTGATTGCTATTTTTGTGGCTGTTTTGGGCCTCGAGGTCCATGCACGCGGTTATAATAATAGGAGTACAATCTCACAACATTGCTCTTGAACCTTGATGCACTGCCTGAGCGTTCTTGCTCATTACTAGGGTTTCAAATGATAGAGAGCAAGGATGGAAGATAGAGAATCATGGGCTATAGAAAGAGCGAAATTACACATGAGGTCGCCCAAAAACAAAAGCTCAATCTCTTTACAACTCTTTATGTTAAGGATCCCATATCTCTCCAAGGGGATTATCCTTTCCTAAATAGAATAGGATTCCCTATTCCACCTCTATCCTTATTTGGAAGTCCTTGTCACAAAGTATTCTAACCTTTTTTGGACTTTCTCTTTCTCTAGTCTAAACAATGCAACAAATAACAAATGGGTCCCCCCCCACAAGTGGTGGACCCAAGAAATCCAACATTAGAGAAATGAGATCATTTGTTGCTGATAATTGGATTGCCGCCATGACTTAAGAGATTAGTTCCATGGAGAAGAATCAAGTTTGGGAACTCATGAATCTTCCTCAAAGTAGAAAGGGCATTAAGAACAAGTGGGCCTAAAAACTTTAAGAGGAACGCTGATGGAGCTATATATGAGAACATGACCCGATTGATGGTGAAAGAGTTCACTCAATTGAGTATGTGGATTATGATGAGATGTTCTCCTTGGTGGTGAGAATGATCTCAATTTGCCTCACGTTTGCCAATATAATGATTTTGGCTTTGGATTTATTATGTAATATTTATCAAACTTCTTGGTCTAAGAAGGGTGATGACCTTAAACTTTCCCTTAACTCATCCCATGGCTGGGTAAAAGGGCATGATTTTGTTAGGTAGACAACTAACATAAAATTTTGCCAAAACTCATCAAGAATCCTGATAAGCTTATAGTATATGGAGACTTATGGCCTCACTGAAGATATGGCTTTTAATAGAACAGAATGGAGAACCATGATTCATGTAGCTGACCCCTATTAATTGGGAAAAAGCTAAAATGATGATGATGATGATTTATAAAAGTTCCATTTTATCAATTGCTTTTGCCTTCTTCTTAAATATAAGATAGCGTAACGTATATAATCATCATCCGAGCCTTTATTCTAACTATTTGGGGTCGACTGTAACATAATATAATATAAAATATATGCTATATGTATTTATATACACACACATAGGATAATATAATATAGTATAATAGTCTCAAGCCCAAATGAGAAAGGAGGAGTGTTTAATTAGGTTGGCAGCCAGCAGAAAACTTTTCCCACCTCCTTATCATGAAGTCGACCCCAAATAGTTGAGATAAGGTTCAGATGATGATGATAATGATAATTGAAGATTGATGATAGTAATAATAGTTTAGTACAAACTTCATTTTTCCCACGACAAAGACTGAAAATTTGGTGAACAATTATCCTAAATCTTATAAGGGCCTTTCCCTTGGTGGTCTTTCTGGGTTTATGTACTATTGATAAAGTAAATATATATATGTAATTTCTATTGACATCTAATTTAACCATATGGTTGTTTGAGATGACATTCCTTAACATGGATATGTCATCAATGATAGCTGGAGAGTATTATGATCTTTTGATTGCAGGATGATGAGATACTAATGGCAAGTTGATGATTAATGCTAGTTATGAGTGAATGTCCTCCAAATTTGGTGTAAAGGACATGAAAGAGGTGCATTATGTGTTTGATGTGTGATTGAGGACGATCATTCTAAGAGGCTCCTTAGTTTGTCTCAAGAGACTTACATTGTGGAAATCTTAGAACGATTCAAGGTGCATGATTGTGAGCCCATCGATATTTTTGTCAACAAGGGCAATGTTCTTAGCCTAAATCTCTGTTCTAAGATGGAGGCTAGAAAGAGAATTAATGATCCATATAGCCTTATTTGTATATAAAAGTGCAATCTTATGGATGCCATGTTCTATATGCGACTCCATGTGCTGTAGGACTCATAGGCCTCTACCAAAGGAACTTGGGTTCTTAACGTTGGCAGGCTGTCAAACTGATACTTTGATATCTGCCAGAAATCGCAGACTACTTACATATCTTTTTGGGAAATGATCTTCCGTTGTGAGGATAGAGAAAGTTCTATTGAATGGGTGATCTCGATGAGTGATGGAACACATCAAAATATGTTTTCAATTTAAGAGTGGGAGCAATTCTCTAGAGGAAATAGTTACATATATGCGGGGTATTATCTATAGTAGAATCAAAGTATGTAACTTGTTGTGTAGTATCACATGAGGGGATGTGGCTCAAGAGGAGCTTCCGAAGCTTAGGGATCCATTGAGTGTTGGAGAGCCCATGAGCATGCACAACTTTGTTGGCATTTGCCAATGATCTCGAGTATCACATTATGATGTAGTATGTAGAACTTATGTATCACTATGTGGCGAGATGACACGAAGAGGGAAGAGGCAGGCACGACTCACTTGTCACATGCAAGATGGTAGCAGATTTCATGAGTAAGTCTACAACGTAACAAAAGTGTGGCACTCATGTCCAGGGATTCGAACCTGGGAGCCCTTAATTGGCTTTTTGGATTGGCGTTTACCAATTATTTGAAAGATTTATGGCATTTTGGTTTGTCAGATGCATGTATACATAGTTTGGATGCACATTCACACTTGTGCACTTGGATGCTTGTTCATTGTGAGATAAATTGTGGCAGGCAAGGTTTACTTTTCATGTGGCATTGACCGCCCTCAGTATTAGGGACCTCTAAGAATTAGATACATATGGGGTATGTGAGTATCGTCTTGATGAGAGATCAATATGAGATTTGGGAAGCAACATGATACACATGACATTCTAGCAGATTGTCAGCGTATATGATAGTCTGGTATGATCATCAAGGATGCTCAGGTTAGTTGCTTGAGTGCAACCGTGGGGCACATTGGTTGCAAAGGTATGCATAAATGTGATTGAAATAAGACCTACATGGTATAAATCATAGTACTTACCAGTGTTTTAAAATGCGGCCAAAAGCGTTAGGGGGGCTGATACGGCGATGCCGCTCGATGCGGTCTAGATGTGGGTGCATCGCGACGATACAGTTAATAAATATAAAAAAATTCTAAAAAAATAGGTTAATGCATAGAAAAAAATATGAAGATGATATATGCGATAGTAGATATTTAGATTATTCATTAACTCCGAAAGTATTAATTGTCGTAGATTTTGTATCCACTATCCTCTGATAGAAACTAAAAACTTGAAACTAGCTTCATAAAACATTCAACAATCAATAACCATAAGCACAAATCTGCCACCAAAAACTTTAAAATTACAAATTTTATAAATTCTTTAATCTTGAAAAGAATCCATGAAGTTCTTTGATTCGATTTGTATACTTTTTATAAACTTTATAAATTTATAAAAATGTTGTAACTTTACGATATTAGAGCATTTATGAAGATCAATAAATTTTATAAACTCATTAATTTGTAACTTTATTGTATTAGTCCATGAAACTCTTTAAAGTTACAAATTTTATTTGAAAAGTATTGGGAAAAGTTCTTTGATTTGTAACTTTTAGTTTGTAGTATCTCGTATTACAAATCAAAGAACTTCAACAAATCAAATTTCCGCCCAAATTTTTTTTGATTGAATCAATCCAATAAAAGCCACAGATGTGGCTGAAAAATGTTGTTTGGGTGGTTTAATATCTCCCCCCCCCCCCTCCCCCCCAAAAAACCCTTTCCCCCCATTTTCAAAGGTCAAAATGACCTTGTTGCCCTTGCCCGAGGGGTGCAATTTTGAAAAAAATGGTGGACAGATTATGCGGTCTGATGTGGTCGATGCGGGATTCGGCTATGATGTAGAGGGATGCAGCTTTGATGCAGGCACATCTCTGCAAACCGCATATGTGGGAAAGTGCGATGCGCTGGGTGGCGCATAGCGCCTATTGTGGCCGCATTTTAAAACATTGGTACTTACACTATTTTGACTATGGTATATGACTCATACCACATGTTCTTAGCGAAACCACTATTAGGTGATAGGATATTCTATTTTCCCTATTATATTGTGTGAGATTAAGTGACTCTGAGTATCCTCATTAACTTGATACTATATTAGGAAGTGGAGTTACTTTAGCGGTCCATCCCCATGGTCATGTATGATTTGGCCATGTTGGAAGTAGAGCTAGGAAAGCATCAAATCAAAATGGGAAAATAATAGGACTAGGGGAAGACTATTGGCATCATACTGGTTGGCTCTCGAAGAACCAATACAGACATGAAACTCTTCAGCCATGGCAATAGGAAAGTTTTTACTGAGAATTTTCTTTTGCAAAATTGTATTGGAAAAACCATAACATAATATATTATATTGTTTGCAAATGAATTTCTTGGGGCAATAGGAAAGTTTTTACCGAGAATTTTCTTTTGCAAAATCGTATTGGAAAAACTATAATATAATATATTATTTGCAAATGAATTTCTTGGCATGCACGAGAATGATGCTTTATTGAATGAGTGGAAGTGATCATAAGAGTTGAGTTGTATCTGAAGCATATAAAGCTCATGAGGGTTTAGTTAAGATACTCAATCTGGTGGGTTGAATATCTAGGGTAGGCTGAAGCAATTTTATATAGAGAGAAGATATATTCCACATTAGTTAGATAAAACTTAATGTGGTTTTCTCTACAGGTGCATTGCTTGTTGAGGTTTTATGGTATATTTCCTGTTAGAGTATTAGAAAGTTCTTGCACTATGGTGTATCATCAAGTGATGATGGGATACTGGCATCTTTATGTGCACCCATTGCAGGAATGTCGGATTTGTTGACTTGATACTATATTAGGAAGTGGAGCTACTTTAGCGGTCCATCCCCATGGGCCAGGTTGGAAGTAGAGCTAGGTTGGAAGTAGACCTACTTTGGCCAGGTTGGAAGTAGAATTAGGAAAGCATCAAGTGAAAAAGGAAAAATAATAGGTCTAGGGGAAGACCATTGGCATCACACTGGTTGCCGCTTCGAGAATTTTCTTTTGCAAAATTGTATTGGAAAAACTATAATATAATATATTATTTATTTGCAAATGAATTTCTTGGCTTGCACGAGAATGATGCCTTATTGTATGAGTGGAAGTGATCATAAGAGTTGAGTTGTATCATGAGCATATAAAGCTCATGAGGGATTAGTTAAGATACCCAATCTGGTGGGTTAAATGTCTAGGGTAGGTTGAAGCAATTATTTATAGAGAGAAGAGGTATTCCACGTTAGTTAGATGAAACTTAATGTGGTTCTCTTTGCAGATGCGTTGCTCCTTTAGGTTTTATGGTATATTTTCTGGTAGATTATAAGAGAGTTCTTGTACTATTATGTATCAGCAAGTGATGATGGGGTACTGGCGTCGTTGTGTGCACGCACTGCAGGAATGTTGGATTTGTTGGATTGGTTTCTTGTGGATGGGACCTATTTGTCATTTGTTGTATTGTCTACGTTATAAAGATAAAGTTGGAAAAAGGTTGGAATCCTTTATGTTTAGGATTTCCAAATAATAATGATAGAGGTGGTGTAGCAAATCCTATCCTATTTAAGAAAGGGTATCCACCTCGGAGAGATATGGGATCCTCTGTATAAGGAGTTGTAGAGAGAGAGAGCATTGTAGTCTTTTTTTGGGTGAACCCGCGTGCAATTTTTCCCTCTCTATAGAACCCATGTTTCTCTCTTTGCCATCTTTGTCCTCTCTCCCCTGAAAACCTAGTTAAAAAAATGGACCCCTTGAAGAAAAAACTCTTGAACTGTCCACAAGCTTGCGATTTGCATTGTAAAATTGTACTTCAGCTTCTAATCACGAGGCCAAATTGAGCATGCGAGTATCGAACTGTCAACCTAGAGTAGCCATGTGCATATTAAGAAAAAGGAGATCCACACCAACTGCGAAAAGGGCGATCAAACTCGACAATGGTATATAACCTCTTTTAGATCCTTATAAGTTTGTGAATGTTTTTGTGTTTCCGCTTAAAGGTTTGCCTACAGAATCCAACACTTACACATGTGAATTTTGATTCAACATTTACCTAGTTACTTTCAAACTCTAGATTTCTCGTTTTTAAATTGTTGATGTTCAATTGATTATACACATACTTTATATAAAGTATAAAATTTATTATATTTTACATGCATATATTTTAGATGCAATATAGGCATCTATTTTTATGTCCTGTATGTATGTATGTATGTATGTATGTATGTATATATGTTTTGGGTCTCAAGCCCACTTGGGCAGCTAGTCTCCTTGGCCACCTAGGAACCATCTAGAGGTTTTTAAAACATTGGCTGCAATAGCTTCAAGTGGATTTGATAGAAAAGGCTGCTTGCATGAAGATTTAACTGTAAATGTCAACAATCCATTCCCTTGGACAATTTATCGTGGACACTTGTAATTTAGAATCACAGAGAGTCAGTATTTTGGAATGCTGAATATAAGAATAAGATACATATTGTCATCTTCGTGAGAATGAGTCTTGCTTCAGAATATGTGAGGTTTTGGAAAATTGATATGGTTTATTTTGTTTTTGACTATATAGGATGAAGAATCTTGGGAGATTTACTCATTACATGCAGAAGATTATCACTGACAATGTCCCTTTATCATTGCTTGAAAAAGGCCAAAATCGTGTAATAGATGCTTCTCTTACTCTTATTCGTGAAAGGGCTAGATTAAAGGTATGATATCATGTGATGTTGATCAATTTCATTGTAATTCCACAAATCAGATCCAAGGGGACCTTTTATATACCCCTATGTACACACACTTGAGATTTATTCAAGTGACAAAACTCTCTTCCATATATTCATGTCTATCAAGCTTTCCGTTTCAATGTCCTTGTTAATTGATATAGATGGTCCCACCCACCGAGTAGTACTGGTGGTTGCATACAATTGGAATGTCAAACCTGCAGTATGATTGTTGTAATGTTAACAATGGGATTATCTAAATCTGATACATAATTTGTTGATCGTATTAGTGTTTATTAGAATCATATGGGTTCTTTTCTTTTACTGTTGAGTTACATGTTTTTATTTTTTGCTTATTTTCTTCATTTACATCACACCAAATGGCCCATTTGGAATATGCTTCCCTTCTTTTCCTATATAAAATGCCAATTACTTACCTCTTTGTTGTTCTCTAAGTTCTGTTATCAAACTATTATTTTATTAACCAGGGGGAGCTTTTGCGTGCTTTGGGAGGTTGTGTAGCATCATCTTCACTTCTTGGAGTTCCAGTTGGACACAACTCATCTTTCCTTCAAGGACCAGCATTTGCTCCTCCTCGTATTAGAGAAGCAATCTGGTGTGGTAGCACGAACTCCACCACTGAAACTGGTATGATATGATTGATTTTTCTATTCTCTCTCAGTAGACCTGTTCATCATGCAAAGATTATGTAATAGGACATAGCATTATATCCGTGTGTGGTTTCATTTTCCCTTACATATCTTGAAAGGCTTCTCATCCCATTTGCTCATCTTATTCTAACTTAAGGATATGATGTCAGGGTCCAATCATATGACCTGTGATTTAGGTTTGTAGATCAAAATGGGTGGTTACACATCCCATCCTACCCTAATTCACTTCAGCAAAGACAAACGCTCTTATACTCATAGTTCTTTATTGTCCTGTATTAGGTGAGAAATCATTGTCTCTTTGGGAAAACTGATCTTAGAGTTTGCACTATATTGCTCATCTCCTTTTATATTCTTCATGAATATCTCCTAGAGAAATTGGGAATGGTGAAATGAGTCAATTCCAATGCATATGAATAGAACCTGAAATCTAACCGATCCCAAACAACAATAGAAAAAAGTTCAATAAATAGTAATTCCTATATGTATGTATCAGATGAAAGACAAGAATATTAAAAGAGAATCACCATCTCGGTAGTGCTTGGGGTTCTTGATGCCTATTGTTCAACATGAAAATCATAATAACAAATGAATGACCTCATGAAAAGAAATAAACTCAAGAACCAAACTGCTTTGCATTTCTGATGAGCTGAAAATGAATAGATGAGGAAACTGTCCATAGTCCTACATAACTTGCTTCAGAGAACAAATAATAAGGCCTTGTTGTGTCAGGAATCCAATAATAAGTCTAGTGCACCTATAATAGGATGAGTCTGTTTGTCTGAGACTGCTGTTAGGTTATGTTTAGAAGAGCTTCTATGAATCCATTGGTTAAGGTATCATCAATGTCGTGGTGACCAAAATGATGGTCTAGTGTTCCAGTGTGTCTTCTTTTTTTCGAATTATTACCTCCAATGCATAACTGTGAATTAATTCTAAAAGATGCTCCTATTTTGAAAGTTGCGCATAAGATGTTTATGGTTTCAATTTTATGTGTTATTGGAAGAATACATGGTGGAGGGCTGATTTGGTTTTAGGTTAAATGGCTCAGTTGTTGGACCTAAGAAATTTGCAAAACGAATTGGATATACCACACGGCACTCATATGATGTCTATTGATGATGGATATATTACGTCCATGGCATTTATTATGATGGCATAATGTGATATATCTGTCTAGTTCAATATCTTCTCCCTTTGACATTTGAGTAGTCTATCTAATGAACCACACTACTTATTTTCCTATGTTTGCTCTTGCACTTTTTTATTCCTTTTACCACAAGTCATGGCATTGCAGGAAAAGAGTTGAAAGATCCACGAGTATTAACTGATGTTGGTGATGTTCCGGTTCAAGAAATCCGTGATTGTGGAGTTGACGATGATAGATTGATGAACACTATAACTGACTCCGTGAAGTTGGTGATGGATGAAGTATAAACCCTTGTACTACTTTTTGTAATAATAATTGATAGAGTATATGAAGAAGTGTGTGATTTATGTCTACTTGTGGGATGCCTATATAATAATCTCAACTATATAATATTATATTTAGATTATTTTGATGTTATTGTGGTTGTCAATTTGATTGCTTTATTGGGTCCTTCTGTAGAGAGCAAGGATGATTTGTGTACCTTGAGAGTTGTCTTTTCTAAAGCAGGAACTGATATATTTTTTTTCCTTTAATGTATACTTACTTATTATTATACTTATTGTTATTTCTTTGCTAACTAAGATTATGAACCATTCGAAATTGCCCATTATACCCTGTTTTCATTCAATTGAATTGGTTTTTTGACAAAATTTGCAATATAATTTTCTTTCTTTTTACAGTTATTAGACTTTGAAGTTTGAAACCTACTTCCATTATTCAGGGGAGACTTTGGTTTTCTATTTTATTTAAAATATAAAATTATAGTACAAGTAATAAAAATTAAGTAAATTTAAGGAATATAGAATAATATTTCTGAAATAAAACTATCCACACATGCAATTAATTAGTTTTAGTCACACAACAGTTTCATTTAAATTGTCACTGGTCACTTGTCATTACCTTGTATCATTGTGTGTATCAGCTGATTGTTGTCTCTGCCCTGCCAAGTCACATTTGCCACTGTTTATAGTTAAGGGGATTCCTTCACATTTGCGACTGTTTACAGTCAAGGGGATTCCTTTGTCATTTATTTATCTTTCCCTTTTATATGGTAGATGTGTAGATCACTTGAAGGCTACAGAAGCAAGTTAATGAACCATAAAACCTCATCTTCTATAAACTGCCATCTCCACTCCATATACATGGTAACAAAGCAAGACGAGCCCTAAACACACTCTTAGAATGTGTCATAAACATGTAATAGAAAAACTATTCCTTGAAAGAAGATCAGAGTACCCTCGTGAAAATATATGCGAGCATAGCCTAGGATATTTTCTAGGGAAAATTGCATAAAACCCCCAAAAATGAACTTTTTAAGCAATTTACCCCCAACCTAACTTTTCCTAGCAACTTTTTCCCCAAAACCATGTTTCCTAGCAAATATCCCCCCAACTCAAAAAAAAAAAAAGAGACTAAAATACCCCTCCCTTATCTCACACGTTGACTATAGCCGTTTGGCACTTCGCCATGGCAGTCCGGCATTTGAAAGAGGCGGTTCGGCACTTAAGTCATTGATTTGGAACGGTCCGGCACTTCACCATGGCGGTCCGGCACTTCATCATGGCAGTCCGGAGTTTGGAAGAGGCTGTCCAGCATTTGTTTATGGATTAATGAATAGTCCGGCATTTGTGAGCTACGGTCTGGCAAAATTGAAAATTGTGTCTGGAATAGGCAGCCTGGCAGTGTACAGTTCCAGTCCAGCAGAATGGATGGGTCTGGCAATATACAACCGCGGTCCGACGTTTCCTTTTATTGGGATCCGAAAATGATTGTTATGTACTGCCTGTTGATACACTCACACATGTGCACGCGTGTTTCATTACACACTTGCTTGCACACACCGACCGAGGATCTCGTATCCAGCGTAACGCTGTGAGGGGCACCTAGCCTCGAGAGTTGGGGCGGGTGGGGATTGCGTAGCTCTAACTACAGAGCACCCCTCTGTAATCCTCGGACTCAAAGCAAACCCACACATAGTAGGACCCAAAACAAGCCTCCAACAAGGCATCCAGGAAGGGTATTTTCGTCAAAATGATGAACTTTTTGTTTTGGGGGGGTATTTGCTATGAAACTTGATTTTTGGAAAAAATATGCTAAGAAAAATTAGGGTGGGGGTAAAGTGTCTAGAAAGTCTATTTTTGGGGGTTTTATGCAGGTTTCCCTATTTTCTATGTCTGGTGTGGTGTTATGTTTCTTAGAGAATGATGGTTCATTTCTTTATATTATCTGATAACAAAGGATGAGTGTTGTATTTGTTAGTGATATGTACTTCTATTCCTTAGGCTCCGCTGCGCCCACTTGTATTGGGTGGTGACCACTCAATATCATTTCCAGTAGTAAGGGCTGTGGCAGAAAAACTTGGTGGGCCCGTAGATGTTCTTCATTTAGATGCCCATCCAGATATATATCAATCTTTTGAAGGCAACAAATATTCTCATGCTTCTTCATTTGCAAGAATTATGGAGGGTGGCTATGCTCGAAGGCTTCTGCAAGTAAGTTCATTTACTCTGTTTTCTTTTTTTGCATCTAAAACCTTTCGTTCTGTGTGTTCCTGATCTGGATCTAAACCTTGGACATTCATTCTGTGGCCCTTACAACCTACCTACTTGGCCAATGGACCAGCACAAATTTACTCTCTTTTTACCTTATTCCTTTCAAGAAATTTTACATTAACGGTTAGTGATGCATCAACAGTATATTGAAAGGGAAGTGTACATAATCAGTGAACTATGGACAACCTCCAGTCTATATTGGATCATTACTGTCCATTAAATAATGGGTGCTGTGAGGATACATAGTCCCCGATTAGGTTGTCCTTTTCTGAAGGGTTCCACTCTCTGACCATCACTGTACATTTCATGTGATGGTGATGACCTAATGAACTTCGATTTCTCTCAAGAGTCCATTTGATTGCAGTATACTATGAAGATTACTCAATACTAATCACCTCAGATCTGTCCTCTATAAAAGAAGGGTAACCCGTGTATCCATTGGATCCATGATTTTCAGCATTTATTGTCAGTGTCAAGCTCTAATAATATCATAAACTATACGAGAAAAATGAAAACATCGTTGCACAACTGAAGTGCCATTGTGAATTTCACATAATAACTCTCGTGTGCAAGAGAGAGTTTTCTAGTGTTGTACCTATGGGAAAGTCTCAGCTTGCTGGAACTTACTATTTACCACCTGATGTTATGCAGAGTCATGTCTTCTGTATGGATAGGTTTATGGTATATCTATTTTCAATTTATTTTCTTCTTTCTTTTTTTTCTGTGAAGAGATTTCTGCTTGGATTCAATATATATATCCATGAATATAAAATTGAGTAGTGTATTTAGCTTGACAATTAAAATGCCTGGTTTGAGAATAAAGGGCTGTACCGTTGCTGGTCTCGCCTAAGCAAGGTCCCAGGAGGGGTGGGCTGGAAACGGTCCTAACTTTTGGCTTATGCAACAAAGTGGCCGCTCCCAAGACTCGAACCCTCGCTCTTGTGTGGCTCCCTGAGCCTTTTACTAGCACACCAAGTGACAGCCCTTTATACTAGATAACGACCCAAGAGCATGACAATGTTCTTGTTTTTCAGGTAGGTCTTAGGTCAATAACAAAAGAGGGGCATGAGCAAGGGAAGAAGTTTGGTGTGGAGCAATTCGAAATGCAAACTTTCTCAAGAGATCGTGATCTGTTGGAGAATTTGGTCTCTCTCTCTCTCTCTCTCTCTCTCTCTCTTCATGGCGATGCTTATTTGTTTGTTCTATTTTCTTGGATGCAGAAACTAGGTGAAGGTGCAAAGGGAGTGTATATTTCAATAGATGTGGATTGTCTTGATCCAGCATTTGCCCCTGGTGTCTCTCACATTGAGCCAGGGGGCCTCTCATTCCGAGACGTCCTCAACATTCTTCATAACCTCCAAGGCGATGTGGTTGCTGCCGATGTTGTGGAGTTCAATCCTCAACGTGACACTGTTGATGGCATGACCGCCATGGTTGCCGCCAAGCTCGTTAGAGAACTAGCAGCAAAGATGTCCAAATGACACCCCCCACTACCCTCCGTACCGGCCCCACTATAATTGCCTGAAACCATACCTAAATCCTCATAAGCAATTCTTTTCTTCTCCAGTTTATTGTGTACTTCTAGAATATCTTCTTCTACCATCAGTGCGATGCATGTGCTTTTATCTAGTACTTAGACAGGCACACACATTCACCAAAGATCTGAAAATTAATTGCTGAAGAACTTTCATAAGGATGAAGAAAAAGAGAACATCCATGAATACATTCGAAGTATCAATAAATGAATTCAGTAATGGTCACTCTAAATCGTAAAGCATACTAATGTGTTATCATAGTTTGGAGTGAGTTGTGTCGTAGTAAATTTTTTTTGGCTTGGGCTAGTTTGGTTTGTGATATTTGCTGTTTAAATCTTTTAGGCTAAGTTCACTAATAAATGATTAAACAAGTCTGTCTGCAAAGGTGCATGACACAGGGTTTTTTTCACCTATAGTTTGATGTAAGGAAGAGTTGTTAACTGTCGCAATGAGAAATATCCTTTTGTTCCAATAAGAATATTTTTCAGGTTTTATTCTCTACCCTTTCCGTTCCTTTCCTCGCTCTCTTTTCATCACCTCCCATCTCTTCTACGTGCTGAACAGTCCCGTCCAACACCTGTTAACCCCACTTTACGTCCAAGGTTACCTGCTCCACTGGAGCAAATTGTAAACTTACTTCTCGGGTTTGCATCTCTTTCATCCATCTCAGCGATTAAAGTAGAAAAAAGAGAGGTCTTTACTTCATCTCTTCAACTAGAAGAAGAAAGAAGAAAGAGGAGGAAGAGAAGAAGAGTTGAAACCATAAAAATGAAAAACAACTGTTTCATGCGGGGCTGGATTGGACTGCATTTGTATAATATGCGGTCAAGAGGTATAAAGCATCCATCTTAAAGATGGACGCAAATAGGTTGTCTATCTAAAAACAATGGTAACTAACAGTCTAAATGTTTTTTAAATATAATTATTATTTTTAGCTTTCATTTTTTTTTTTTTTTCATATTCATGTTCTCCATGTTAAAGATTATGTATTATTTGAAAATTAGGATCAAGTTATATTTAAAATATATATTTATTGCCAAACCTGCATTTTTACATGTGCAGGCTTGTCTGCATGTTAATCGCGTTGGAAGTTGTGATACTTGGTAATCCCGCAATTATTTTACTAATTTTACCTTTGCCAGTCCCAAGCCTAGATTCGAAAGGAGGGTTGCGTTAAGTCAGCAACCATCATAAAACTTCTTCAACATCTCTATAATGAATCTCAATGGTGAAACATGATTCATAAAGCTTAACTCTAAATAATTAAGCTAAAGATCGAATGATTGAATGAAGAACCTTCCATTAAGTCTCTCTACTAAATTACCCACTTGCCGTTGGCCCACCAAAAGCAACCTTAGCTTAGACGTTCCCCCAAGAAACTTTATTTTTTTGCAGTGGTCCCACTTGATTAAATACGTCAACATGGTTAGGTAGCATTCCTTTAATACGGGAGGGTCATGCGTCGTAGGTGGACGCCACAATCACATCATGTACGACGTCTTTCCGTTTCAAAGTAGGCTTCGCTTTGTTTTCTTAGGGAGGTGCCTGGCAAATTTAGAGGACGACAAAAGCCACTAAGGTTTCTAATCAATTACAGTACTAAAGATTAGGAAGCTTCCCTTCCTTTTTGCCCTTCCAACATCTCCAAAATATCCCTATACATAGGGATTAATTTAGACCAAGGTTTTAAAAATTGGTGATCAAGAATGGAATTAGCCAGTCTTGATCCCACAAAATATCGGGCCGGTTCGCCTTATGAACTGATCGGTTCTATAGAGAATAGGTTTTATTTTATTTTTTAATATTGGTTCGCCTTATGAACTGATCGGTTTTATAGAGAATAGGTTTTATTTTATTTTTTAATATTTTTTTTAAATTTTTTTATTATCTATTTTTTAAAGTTTTTACTCCCTGGTTCATTAGGCCAAATCGCCCGATCCGGATCAATTTTTTGGAGAAGCTATCCAGGTCATCAAACCATATTTTTAAACCCCAAATTAGACCGCAAATCTCCTCTCTCTTCTAGTTGATTTCTTGTTTTCTTGGAACATGTACTACTATATTCCAAACATGCAATGTACCCACCATTTTCGGTAAACAACTAGGCACTTTCGTAATTTTCCAAGCACTAGTGGTAATTTCCAACCACCCCCATCTGTACATATATTGCTCAAATTCTTTGCCCCTAAGTGGATCTGATGCCTTACATTTCTCATGGGTTCCTCGCTCAAGTTTTCCATAGCGATCTTAGCCATAATTCTCCTAAGTGGTTTTCCGGTCAAAGGTAAGACCTCATTTCCCTCACTAAGCATTACCTAAATCTCAATTTTGGTACTAGACCACCTTAGAAATTGTGAGAAAATGGTTTTCCGGCCTTATTTCTTCCAATTTCTCATATATTGTATTACTGGTTACTATACTAACATGTTTTATTCTTTGTGAAGTACTTGGTGGATATGGGAGAGATGTACATCAACATAAAGCCTCTCACATGACCGGAAATTTTGGCCGGAAAGTTGGGGCATACCATCATTTTCCAATGGACTCTGTGATTTTAGGACGAGGTGTTGGTTGTTGCCCGCGTTCACCCGTTGCCAATCGACCGAGATCGTGGTTTGTACTGACACCACCACCACCGCCTTTAGAGTAACTTAAATGTTTCTTTGTAGGAAATCATATTGTTAGGTTTTATGATTACATTTCGACTGTTTAATGAGAGTCAAGCCTATGTTAGTTTGTGATTATATGTTAACTAACGATACTTATATGATTAAGGCTTTTTTTATGTTTTGGCATAAGTTTTCTAATTATTAATCGAAAATCTTCTCAATGTTAACTGAAATAAAGAGATATTTCAAGATCCAGGTTTATGAGATAGGTCCAATTTCGACAGTTCTGGTTTATACCATTGAAACAGAGAGAGGGAGAGAGAAATGGCCATGGACTTTGTCAAGATCATATTTGGAATCAATCCATATGGACATTCGAAGAAAAGGTTGAATGTGGTTTGGCATTTTAAGTTGGTAATTAGAAGAATGCACAGATTTGAACTTTTAAAAGGAGTCTAAGCATCTTCCTAATCTCCCTTTGAAGGGTCTTCTAAATCGAGTTTCAATCAATCAATCTTATTAATGGAGATATTTGTATTAATGACAGTAGCAGCCTTTCTTCTAATAACTTTAAATCCCCTAAGCTAATATCAAAGTTATGATAAATTGTTTCCTTGGTATAGTGCAATATGTCATTGAGAGATTTCGACTTTCGCCAGTGCTTTTGATATTCCTAAATTCTTTTCAAACCATCAAACCATAACCTAATTTGTCTGATATTAGGGGTCCTAGACCATTTTAGGGGAGGGGGGGGGTGGGGGTTGAGAACATGCAGTTCTTCTATGCTAGATGCAGACCAAATGATATATCAAGATTATGATTTAATGGGGTTCCTGATGTTGATAGGGAGGGTTGGGAGAATGCAATCATAAGTGATTTTCAAAAAGCATTTTCTTGTGAACACTCCTTTGGGTTATACATGAATGGTGTTCCTTGTAAATGTCTTAGGGAGCATGATGTTCTTGATTTGGAAAGGCCGATCACCACAGAAGAATTGAAGTCAGTGGTGTTTTCGTTACCTAGGGATAAGGTACCGGGGCTTGATGGGTTTCCCTTAGTTCTCTTTCAAAAACTTTGACGGGGCTCTCTCTTTCTCTCTTATTATCATCATCATCATCAGAACCTTCAAAAACTATGTTAGAGGCATTTATATGAGTCCTATTTTAACATATTGTTTACACTCGATTTCAAGGCGACCGACACTTTGAATGCTCGACCTTGATCTCAAACATAAACAGAGTCACTCAAAGATAGATATGAGGTTTTGTCAAATTGTGATTCACAAGAGAGGTGAGCCATGGGGCTACTCCCTTATGGATCACCGGCAGTATCGGCTTGTGAATGCGTTAAAGCCGAAACCCACTAAAGTAAGTTTAGAAGATGAAAATTTTAGGGGAAAGGGGAGGAAAAAGTTCAGTTAAATTGTACTAAACATGCAAATATAACAAAACTAAGAGAAGAGAAGGAGAACTTACTTGGAAGCCAGGCCCACATGCTTGGCACTCGAAATTGGTGGCCCGGCTCAGATATGAAGTTGTTGCGCTGAACTCTTTCACTTCTTGGAGTTCACCGGATGGAATTAAATAGATTTGATATTGAGCTTTGTCTTTCGTAGTAGTTTGAATTGAGTGTAGATGATCTGAACCTACGGTCTAAGCGTGGAATCAAGGTTCCATGGGTGAGGCTTAGGATTTTTAAGGGGCTCAGAGTGGGCTCATAGGACTGCAGAAGGTGGGAAATAAGGCTTTGGTTCTAGGGTTTCTAAAGATTCAGGGTCAAGTGTGTAGTGCAGCAAGGCTTCTCCTATTTTTGCTATGTCAGGGTCCCTCAAAACTGTACATGAAGGGCCTATTTATAGGCAAATGTTCTTGAAAACTAATCCATCAAATAGAGATTCAATCTAGGCCGTCGATCTTCTACGAAATATTTTAAATCACAAGCATAAAAGATTTATCCGCTAGCATCAAAGGATATTACGCATAAGACGTTGGACCATACGATTCAGCAGTTTCATGCCACATATCCATTGTATCATTTAGAGCGTTTTAGCACGTTAAGGTAGTTGTTGTGGGTGCATTTTAGTGGGATTGTGGCTTTAAAGTGGGTTTAAGAGGATTAAAGTTAGGTCCAAATTTAGGGTTTAGTGGGCTATGGTGTCATAAGGGTTTGACATATGATTCAGGGTGGTGCTGGCACAAGTTCAAGCAATATGAGGCAAGTTTCAGGTGAGTCTAGATCATTTAGGTCAGTTGGGACCTATTTTGGAAGGTTTTAAGGAGGGTTAAACCTAAATAAAAAACTTTAACGAGGTGTAAGGTCATTTTAGGAAGGTGTAAGTGAACTAGGGCTTAGTTTAGTTTTAACTAAAGTACGTTGGTAATTAATGGTTTAGGTGCATGGTAAATGGACTATGGAGGATATTTGTAGGGTGTAGTGTGGTCCCTATTGGGTTTTAGGCTAGGAAATAACCAGGTGAGCCCTAGGATTTTGGTTCAGGTTTGGTCTAGGAAGGGTCTAGGCCTATATTCTAAGTTTTCCTGGGTTTTGGCTACATGGAATTCCTTCAATCTAGAAATGGGTATCTACACATACACTTTTTCCATTATGATGAACAATCTCAGAAAAGTGAAATTGGAACATGCACCATAAAAAGTGTTTTTTTTTTTTTAACCCAATGAATGCCGGTAGTCCATTTGAATTCGAAAATTAAATCTAGGTTTAATAGGAATTTCTTTATCCCAAATTCTGTAGATGGGCTTATGCTTATCAGATGAATGATTTTAAAAAGGAAAACTTCATTTTAAGTTCTCAAAGGCATGGATCTCAAAATCTATGAAATAGACAGCCTAGATTTATTCTTGAAGAGGGACGGATTTTTTTCTTTTTTATGGTGCAAATTCAGTTTTTCGGGATTGATTGTTGGTTGAAGAAAATACGTGTAAAGAATTTGGGATTATACAAGTGCTACAAGCATGGTTTATTAGAAAAATTTTATTATATTCAGCATTGAAAAAAATCATTGATTTAGACTGGGAATTGCCAGTGATTCGACACTAGTAGATTATTGTGTACTATATTTAGATTTTTTGATAAATGGGTTAAGAGATCTTATTGGAAGACCTCGTGCCTTCTGATCCATTTCTCGGGTTGGGCTGTTAGGATTTTAGAACCCTCTTATATACGAAAACAGGACCCCCTGAAATTGGGTCCCATGAGGACCGTGCACTTAACCAGCTAGAAACAAAATCAGCAAGAGTACGAAGTATATTATGAGAATTAATACATAAAAGCATACGCCACAAGAAAACTAAAATATATGTGGTTCATCTCAAAGGATTATATCTATGGGTACGACAAATTAAAATTCTGGCTGAGAGTTATATCAAATATTTTAAGACACAAAGGATGTCTTATATGCCATTCTTCCTTCTCTTTAATTATTATTGAAAAGAGTAGCTAAAGATGCAAAAGCAATGAGAAACTCTCTTTACAAAGGGGAACCACTTGCCTACAAGATACATTTCTCTCTCCACACGAGACATGGGCATTATTGTTTCTCTCACTAGAAGCTAACTTCTCTCTCTAAAGGCTTTTTCTTTATGCAGGAGGCCCTTGCCTCACTCTAAAGTGAAGTCCACCTTTCTTATAACATGACCCAAATAAGGGACACATATTATTTCTTCTCTCATTGTATATATATGAGGTTATGAATCTCATAACTTATAATAATTTCATAGACGTCCCATATATCTTAAATTTAAGATATAACCAAATGTTTGAATCTAGTTAGACTTCAATAGGTTTACCAACAAACTTAGAAAACTTGTCAATGTCAATCCCTTGTAAAGTTGAATTTCTTTATAAAAAGGTTGATTTTGGATATCACCGTAACCAAGCCAAAGATGGTCCTCCTATGGTTAGCAGACAGTGTTCATAAAAATTTAAAACTTTTTCTCTCTTTCTCTCTCTCTCTCTCTTATTCTTAGAAAGAAAAAGCAATTGTATGTAAGTGTGGGACCGGGACGGGCCAAGCTAGCCTTGGCCCTGGCCCGAGCTTTGTCTCCATTGGGCTAGGCCAAAAAGAATGGAAGACAAACTAAAATAAAACAAAAAAAAAAGAGGGTTGAGAAGGGCCGAACCGTGCCGACACTAGGACTAGCTTGGCCCTCAAGCCACATTTTATGGCCCAGACACTACTTTTTTAGGGCCGGGCTGCCCGGCCCATTGCCAGGCCTAATTGTATGGTGCTCTATGATTCATGATGTTCATGCCTAGTTGAACTAATAAAATCATTCCTTTTTTCTATTTCATTGTACCCCTAACTCACAATTTAAAATATTTTACATCACATTTAATTGGACCATCAGAGGACAAATGGTATCTTGAGACAGCGTATTTGAAGGACGATCATTCAGTCATTTTCGCTATCATTTTATCAGGGACAAATTACAGTCATTTTCCAAAAATTAGCGAGTCTATCAAATTTGCCCATATTTCATCCAACAACAAAATCCAACACCTACAAATCTAAAAATGAAAAGAAGACATCAGGTAACATCTATGATCTCCCAACATCTGTTCGGGCCCCAAAGCCTCTGCTCCTCGATGTAAACCAAGGCACGTGCGAAGGAAGAGGTTTCTCTTCTAATTTTTTGCTTATCTTGCATGTGTTTAACATTAATGAGGTGTCATTGAAAAGTATATATAATGTTGTAATTTTATTTGTAGAAATAAAGTTGCAAGAAAAAGGTTAGATTGGGGCATGTTTGCTTGAACATAAGAATGTTTAATTCAATCTTGATTGATAGCCCAAAGAAGAAAAAGTATCATCTTGACACCCAAGCTATGAGATGGAGGAGCTGGAGGAAGGAGAGATTTTTGAAGATGACATTGTTTATTCTACTGATTGTCCTTTTTTCACTATTGATCTTTCTTTGGTTGCTGATTTACTATCAAAGGTTAGGTATATTGTGGTGGGATCTTTCTCACCTCCCTTTAACCATATTTTGGTTTGGGAGACTGGGTGAGGCGAGGTTGAGGCATTTCTTATGATCAGAGGTCAAGGTAATAGGCATGAATAAGGTTGCTTTCTTGCTGCGTGAGGAAATGGAGGTTGGCAGAGCTCTGCACAATAGGGTCCCAAGGGTGATGGGTAAATTGCTCTTTTCGTACCGTTGGTCTCCAAAAGTTCATAGCTCCTTTGCTCAGGAGGAGGTTCAATGGATAAATCTTATTGGAATCATATTTCGTGCTTGGAGTTTAAAGATAATAAAAAAGATTGCTAATATTTGTGGTGACTATTGTGATGTAGGTTGAGAATCATTTTTGGAAAAGGACTGAACTTCTATCAGAGTTAAGATCTGGTGTATTAAGGGTCGTGAATTCCAAAGGTAGTGCGACTGCAGATTGGTAAACAATCTTTCTTAATCTTTGTAAAGATTGAATAAGGTATTTTGCCTCCAAAGAAGGTAGTAGTTGTTAATAAGACCATACTGCTAAAATCTAATAACCAGGTGCAGCAACCAAGAGACTTTGCAACCAGGTTATGAAATGATAGACCAAAAAAGAGAGAAGAATGGAATTTTTGGCCTCTCATCAAAAAATTCCTACAAAATTGTCGGAAAGTAGCCTCCCGACCATCGGATTTGAAGGGGAAGAGGAATAGGCATAACCGAAATTGGAGACGGTTACAAATTTTAAAAATTTGAATAAGAGGTGGATTCCGGTGGGAAGATTTCTTGAAACGACCATCAGATTTTTGGATTTGCATGTGCTTTTAAGGGGGATCTTTTATCATCATCTGGGGTAAGGACACGTGTAGGAGTTGACGTTCCCGTTTTAGTGAAGGACCATTCCGATGGTGGTGATCGTGCAGACATTCCTTTAGGTAACTTCGTGAAACTTTCCCCGAGATGCAAGGCTGTGGAAAACGGTGCGAATGATGACTTTCCTTAAGAAAATCCATCGCCCCCTTACGTGGCATGTATGCAGGTAGACGTTTCTGTAAGTGAATCTTCCTCATATCCTCCTTTTGAGAAGGGGAAGATGAAGGGGTTTTTGGGCTCCGTTATGTGGTTTCTATTACTGCAAAATTTGGTGGCATCAGTTTCTTTTCCAAGATGATGGAGCAAATTTTGCCCCCTTACGTGGCATGTATGCAGGTAGACGTTTCTGTAAGTGAATCTTCCTCATATCCTCCGTTTGAGAAAGGGAAGATGAAGGGGTTTTTGGGCTCCATAATGAGGTTTCTATTACTGTAAAATTTGGTGGCATCGGTTTCTTTTCAAAGATGATGGAGCAAATTTTGGTGAGTGTTTCTTGTGTATGTCAAGCTCAGGATGTATCCACTGCTTGCTAGGGGAGCTGCTATAAGGGGTCAGGTGAGCCGTCCTCACTCTCGTTTTGATCCCCTCTTGTTGGAACGCTAGCCATTGTAGCTATAGACCATGTTAAAGAGGAAGTTCCTTTGCAGATTCAGATAGACCAAGAGCAACAGGCTCAAGGGATCGTGGGAGATGTTAATGATTTTGATCCCACTTATGCGGTGGTGAAGGGTGTTGTTGGGGAGCCTTTGGCTATGGTGGCTCAGCCGGTGCCTTCAAATCTTTTACTTACATTCTTCTCTATCTATGAAAGTGATGACTCCATGGTAGCTGAGCCACCTGCGCATGGGGGCAATTCTTCAGACACCTCAAAGAACAAACATAAGGAAGCAAAGCATGAGGAGGTGGATGAGTTGGAAATAGAGAGCAGAAAGGTGATGGATATGTTCGATGATATGAGAGCCGATTTCAATGTCCTTATAGCTGTTATACTAGATGAGATGAAAGTTAAAAAGAGAGAAGAAAGAGCTAAGGTTGCCTTGGAAGTGGCTTAGAATAAGAAGAGTAAAGCAAAGATGGAGCAAACCCCAATTAAGAAGGCCGAGAAGAAGAAAAAAGAAGGAACAAAGACATCGAGGTCCTCTACTCATATTGCAACAAGGTTTGGATTCTTTGATGGGCTTCAATCGCAAGCAATTCAGATGGAGGAACCAGACTTAGTAGAACTCAGTAGTGAGATCACTACTTATGAAGCCACCATCTCGGAAGACGAGGATGCGGCTTTGCAAGAAGCTCTTATGCTTGATGAAGCCTATTTTGGACCTTGCATCAATGGTCTAGGTTCTTCTTTTCACCCACCTCTTTAAATGAATATAATTTCTTGGAATGTTGGCGGTTTGGGAGATCCTAGGAGAAAAAGAGATGTCCGATTTTTTGTGCCTAAATATAAACTTGTTGTTTTGATGCTTCAGGAAACCAAATTGTCTATCCCCACTGTTGAAGGGGTCAAGGATATTTGAGGTAATGAAGCAGTTGACTTTATGGGTGTTGATTCTGTGGGAGCCTTTGGGGGTCTGTGGATGTTGTGGGACCCTCAAGTTTTGCAAATTTTTTGTTCTAGTATTAGGGATAGAATTGTGTTATTACGTTTTTGTGGTCCTGCAGTTGATTTTTCCTAGGGTTTGCTAAATTACTATGGTCATAATTTAAGTGCTTCTAAAGAGTTGTTTATTAATGATCTCTTTGATGTTTTGAATGACTTTCTTTATCCTGTTTGTCTTGGAGGGGATTTCAATTTGTTCCGATGGCCAGAAGATTTTTCTTACGGGACGCCATTGAATGGGGCCATGCGTATGTTAAATTACTTTATTGAAATCATGCTCTGGTGGCTTTACCTATTGTTGGAACTATTTATACATGGTCGAACAATAACACTTCTAAGTTTTGAATGTCTAAGATCAACATATTTTTGGTTTCAGGGGAGTGGTTGGAGGCCTTTCCATTAGCCTTATTGCGAGCACTTCTTCGGATCATACCCCATTATTACTTTCTAGCAAGGTTGTGGCTTTGGGTCCCAAGTCCTTTCGTTTGCAGATAGGGTGGAGATAGAGAAGTAGTTGACATTATCAGGAGTACTTGGGAAAACTCTATTGTTGTGGGTTCTTTAGAATTTCAGTTACATACGAAGCTGATTAGTATTAAGCATAAGCTAATTGTATGAAAAAAGGAAAATAGATTCTAGGTTCAACGGAAGATAGATGAAATCCTATCTGAAATAGAATTGTTGTATTTTATTAGCCAATAGAGAGGTTCTCTTTCTGATGAGCAAAAGATTGAAAGAGATAGTAAAATCAAATCTCTCAGTGAACTCCGTAGGATTGAGATCAAGAATCAAATGGGTAAAGGAATGAGATAGAAACACAAGATTCTTTATTGCCATTGCCAGCTCTAGAAGAATGCATAATGATATCTCGGGGTTATCTATTTAAGGAGTTGATAAGGAACATAGGTTGGCGATGGGGTATGCGGTGGTAGCTCACTTTAAGAAAGTCTTTTCTTCTGAAGTTAGATTTTCACCCAAGCTAGACCGAGTGACTTTCTCTTCACTTTCTCCTTCTGTTGTTGGAAAGTTGAAAAGGGATCTAACAACGGAGGAGCTTAAAAGCACGATTTTTGCGTTGCCAGGAGATAAAGCCTCGGGACCGGATGGTTTCTATTTAGTCTTCTTCCAAAAGTTTTGGAATTTGATCAAAGGGAAGCTCCAAGAGATGGTCAAAGGGTTTCTTCTTCGTGGTGAGCTTTTCAAAAGGGTGAATTCGGCTTATATCACGCTGATTCCCAAGAAAAGCACTATTGCTGATTTGTTTGACATTAGACCGATAAGCTTGCTTACAAGCCTCTACAAAATAGTGACAAAGGTTTTGGCTGAGAGACTGACAGTGGTACTATCTCATATTATATCTGGGTCTCAATCTGCCTTTATTCAAGATAGGCTTATTATGGATAATGCTTTGGTGGCCCAGGAGTGCATTCACTCTAGGTGCTTAAATCAGACACCGAGGGTTATCATCAAGCTTGATATGGAGAAGGCATATGACAAAGTTGAATATGATGTTCTTTCGGAGATCATGAGAAGGATGGGTTTGGGGAGAGACGACGAAATTTGATCTTCGATTATTTGCCTTCAGCGCACTTCTCGGTGCTATTTTAGGGTAGCCCTACCAGTTTTTTTAAAGCATCTAGGGGATTAAGACAGGGAGATCCCTTATCTCCTTTCATGTTCACTCTATATGCAGATTGTTTTAATTTGATGCTTAGGAATGTGGTTGATCGAGGTAACTTCTCTGCATTTGAAATTGGTAGCAAGGGCCTTAGAGTGTTGCATCTTCAATATGTTGATGACATTTTCATTTTATGTGGGGTAGAGGTGGAGCAAGTGCAGAATGTTGCTACTTTCTTGATGTGTTGTGAAGTTGTGATGGGTCTAAAGGTCAATATAAGGAAGACATCAATGATAGGTATATATTGTGATGAGGAAAGCCCTCTTGGATCTAGCAGTGGTTCTTAATTGCAGAACAAAATCATTCCCAATCACTTATTTAGGTCTACCTATTTCGGATAGGAGTCTACCCATCTCCGTCTGGGATAAGGTGTTACAACAAGTTCAAGTAAAGCTAGACTGTAAACGTATAAGTACTTATCGTCGAGTGGTAGGGTCACCCTTCTATAGTTGTGCCCAATTGTTTAAAAACCGGATCGGTGACCCTGATCGGGCTTTCAAAAACCGATCCGGATCGGCGAATCGGCGATCCGAATCGGGAATCGGGTGAATCGGTCAGAATAAAGCTTCAAAAAAATTCGAAAAAATTATTAAAATTCATTATAAATATTGTTTTTTAGGAATTCAATAAGAAATGAGGGTACTCCATTAAGAATTTTCATGTTTTTGAATGAATATGCGAATATTGATATGTTTTTTCCCTGCATGAACCGCCATTCAACATTTAATTTACATCACACAGAAGGATAAACATAGAATTATCATGGAATAAGTATATCAACATACATGGACTACAATAAAGCATAAAATTAGTAACATACGATCTAAAAATAAAATGATAGACGACGTTGTTGTTCTTCTTGGTCACGCTGGTGCCATTGATTGAATTCTTTTGACAATTCATTGATTCGATCTAAAAACGAATCATCGATATTAGCGAGCGTCTAACTATTCCCAAATCCCTGAGTGTTAGTGTTTTGTTGTGTTCCCAATCCAAAATCCCCGAATCACAAATTTTCTAAAAATTCGATCATGGATTACAAAAAATTCGATCATGGATTACAAAAAATTCGATCATGGATTACATAAAATTCGATCATGGATTACAAAAAAAAAAAAACATAAAAAAACAAAAAATTCGATCGTGGATTACAAGAACAGAAAAAAACAATTCGATCATGGATTACAAAAAATTCAATCATGGGTTACAAAAAAAAAAAAAAACAAAAAATTTGATCATGGATTACAAAAAATTCGATCATGGATTACATAAAATTCGATCATGGATTACATAAAATTCGATCATGGATTACAAATAAAAAAATAAAAAATAAAAAAACAAAAAATTCGATCGTGGATTACAAGAACAGAAAAAAACAATTCGATCATGGATTACAAAAAATTCAATCATGGGTTACAAAAAAAACAAAAAAACAAAAAATTCGATCATGGATTACAAGTAAAAAAA